CTCTACCAACTGAGCTATGAAGCCACACATTGGGAGCGAGGTCAATTAATTGAGTTCATATCTTCCCGTGAGTGAAATGATGTGAAGTATATATGAAATGGGTTTATGTTGCATAACTCTGTAAAATTTTTTCCCCAGTTAATTTATTTCCTCCTTTACACCAGGTTGAGTTTGTTTGTACCCCACCACCTGGGAGTCTTAAATGGATGTGACCAATCTTGACATCACAAAAGTTTTCTTTCCCAATTGGTCATGTCAAGGATTTGTTTAATGAAGAACATGTTCATGTTCGTCAATAGAATTTGCTCATATTATTTCCTGAATGATAAGACTGGCAAGAATACACTTGTTCCAGGCTGTGAGCAAATAAATTTCTCATTGCTTAATTGCAGGCTCAGTGACATCCTTGCTTGTGAGACACTTAAAAGGTTGATTTTCTTTTCCTTCCTGTGTATTTCGAGTCTGGTCTCACTTCCCTAAAAGAAGGGATAAAGTTACCTTGACTATCAAATGTTATTTTTGACATATAAGGCACAAAGACTAAACAACAACAACAAAACAAATAATTTTAAATTAATAGCCCAAGCTGGTAAAGATAGTCTCACTTTGAACAGTTGCTCACTTTCATTTCCTGTGACAGAGCAGGGCTCGGAAAAAAAACTTGAATTCCAGCTTGCCCTTCAGACAAGCAGCTCTCAAATTTTGCTTGCCCCAGGCAAATCTTACATTTACTTTTTTTTTTTCATATTTAGTTTGCAGACAACTTGCCTGGTCGTTGCCCATTGGGCAGGTGAGAATGAAATTTTACTTGCCCGGCAGGAAAATCTATTTGTCCTGGATGACCAGACAGCACTTTTTCCAAGCCCTGATAGAAATGTGTGAGATTCACAAAAATTGTCATGTTGACACCAGCAACTCAACTGCATGATTGTGTACTCTAATGGTCTCATTTGTAGCTGGTATTGGGTTGTCACACAATGCCGGCTGACACATATTTGCATGAAAATTACCAATTACAAATACCAAGACTTAGGACCAGGACCTGGTTGTTCAAAGGATAGATATTGCTGTCCACCAGATAATCACTATCCAGCTGTGGGTAGCAATATAATTATGCTATCCACAGTGAAACAAATTATCTGTTTCGTCAACACTTATCCAGTAAGTGATTTATCTGGTGAATAATGTAATCCAGCCTTTGAACAACTGGGACAAGCTGGGCTAAAAAAGAGGAAAGGCAATAAATTAAAATTATAAATTGCCTTACTTTCCCTGCCGTCTCCTCCTATCCTTCTTTTCTTTGACCCAGTCTTTGCTCTTTTTTATTGATTTTCCACGTGGCACTTTAGATCTTTCTCTAGAAGTGAACAAAAGGAAATAATTATACAGCAGAACTGTTAAAATTCACCCTAGTTACCTCTTACTAAGACGAGTTAACCACAAGCTTGAGAACCCAGCCTCGAACTAAGGGATGGACCATTATTTTTGGAGGGGGGGGGGGGCATTGGGAAATTTTCTGGGACATGAAATGTTATTCTGAACTTGAGGTTGTGCATGATTTTATTTGGTGGGCAATAGCTTGTGCAAGAATTTTTTAACATCGGAGATAGCACCTGGATAGTAGAAAGCACTTGCTTGATTTTTTCTCCTATGGCTCCCCTTGCATGGTTTTTTTTCAGCAGTTTTTGCTGTGCAGGAATTTGTTTCTGGTAATTGCCCAAACCCCCCTCCTTAAAAAGTATATTACCACATCACAAAGGAAAATCATGATGAGAGCAAACAGGTAATGATAAATAAAAGCCAGACAGCAGCAGAAGTGATTTGACAGATATGAAAGGAGTTCAAATGAGTATCCTTGTAAAATTGACCTTGGAAATGACTACAGTGTACACTAAACAAACAGGCATCTAGTACACAATAAGTTTCTACCCTTGCATTTACTGGTAATTACCTTCTCCCGCTAAATTGTACACTATCCGCCACAGATTTTGTATCTTCAGTACCGAGACCCTACGAAAAGATAATGAGAGACTTACATTAGGTACATGTAACCATGCACTACACAACTCTCCAGAACAGGTAAAATTTGAGCAAAACTTGCCAACGGTATCGCTAAGTTTACTCCAAGTTTAAAACGTGTTTGATGGTTCACATATCTCTGAGCAGTACTGTATAGCATCTCTGATTGGTTGTAAGTTCATGTCATGTAAGTCCAAATCACAGTCATGGTCCAAAGAAGGGCACAATCAACTCTCTCAAACTGGACACTACTCTGGGGTGGACACCTCCCTAAGGCGGACATGGTTGGAAGGCTGATTCCATGGAATTGCACTTGTTTGTAACTGAACTCTAGTCAGGGTGAATACCCCTCTGAAGTGGACTCCTCAATGTGAGGGAGATTTCACTGCAGTGCTAAATCTCTTGTATGGAGTTTTTCTACATAAATCTCAGATGACTGCAACAAAATAGGGGGAAAGGAGGGTGGGAGGAAGGGTGGAAAAGAAGAATGGCATTAAGGGGGGGTGAAGGGAGGATGGGGGAGGAGGGTAAGGAGTTGTTAAGTGTGCAACAAGAAAGTCATTAATATTTTTTGAAAAAAGTATATTAAATTGTAGTTGCTTGCAGATGAGGACTAACAAGCTATTAAAAGTGGATAAAACCAATGATTAGAAAAGATGATCAATCAGTGAGCAAAACAATGCTTTCCATCATAAAGACATACCTTTGGAAGTTTGTCTACAACAACACCAGCAAAGAGACATAGGAATATTCTGAAGTGAAGTTGAAATGATTTAGTAAATACCAAGTAAGCAAGTAAGCAAGTAAGCAAGTAAGCAAGTAAGTAAGTAAGTAAGTAAGTACGTAAGTAAAGACTTTATTTAAAGAGGGCAGCACTAAAATAGTATAAAAATACTAACAAACCAGTGGCCCTCTAAACATTATGATCAAAGGAGGGACACCAGCATGGGTGTAGCCAGGATTTTTCAAATGGGGGTCACACTGGGCCAAAGTGAGGGTACTCACCACATTGTCATGTCGCTTTCACCACCTGCTATAAGTTGTTTGCCTAAAAAAGGCTTACAAAAAGGGGGGGGGGGGTCATGGGCACCCCAGGACCCCACTAGCAACGTCCCTGACCAGTAAGTGTTATACAAAACTTTGTTGCTACAAAACCAAAAGCTAGATATCCAAGATACTCATTTGCCCCCCTTACTTCAATTCTAAATTGTTTTAATACTCAGTGACTTCAAATTACTTACAGGGCCTTGACATGACAGTTAGCATATCTATTTGATCCTCTTTTATAGTGTACCCTCAACATTTAAGAAGTTACCTATTCAATTATTGATAATTTCTTATCTACTCTAAGTATATTTTCCCTACTTTTTAGCTCTTGTACTGTTTGGGTAGTCAATGACTAGACCCCCAGTGAATCCAGCTTTCATGGCCTGTGTTGTGATTAATTCAACCTGTGGGAGAGAGATTACTGGTAAAGCTGCTATATACTAAAAGATAAGTAGTATTTGACTTGTCAAATGTTAATAGTAATAATAGAACAGTATCTACAAATTAATAAGTGTTGCTTCCCAAGGAAAGGTAAATACAAGACAAAATATAATTTGCATTCAGGGTTCTCAAAAAGTTTTACAAGTAGGTGGCTTTATTTGTTGTTGAGGCTAAAATTGTAAGTTAGGTTCTTATCAGTGGGGTTGCTGTAAAAGTGTTTAGGTACAAACTGCTGAATTAAGATCATCATCTATTTAAAAGTAACTTGACATAACTTTTTTTTCTTTCAAGCTTAAGTACCATGTTGTTTGTTTATTGTGTTTGCTATTCAAATATTTGTATTTGCAAGTACTGTACTCTACGACAGTAACAAAGAAAGCTTTCTGACCATCTCCAACTCTGTGAGAATCACAAAATATTAAATGTAAAATATCAAAATAAATCCCAATGAAATAAATAATTGCAAAATATCAAAACAACGCAAGCTCCTCATTGCTTGAACTTGTTATGAATTTGGTATCAACATGGGTTTCTTTGTTCTGTTTTGTTAAGGACATATACTGTACCTGCACTGAACTACCAATAGGCATTGCTCTGTGGTACAAATAAATGATTTATACTGTATTATGAGATGATATTTATAATATATATAGTATATTCAGATGAAATTCACATGAAAATATAAGAACTTATTTTAAGATGCTTGGTAGCCTAAATCTGCTTTATAAAGTACAATTTATGTAAGAACCTATTTAGGTTAAATTGAAAAATTCAGGTTCTTATATGTGGGCTATTACTGTATACCTGCTGAGGATTTTCTGGATAAAACTGAAACACTGCTCTGCTTCCTCTACTCTGCATAAATCAAACAAACAAACAAACATGAGGCTGCATACATACAGTGCATGTAAGTCTTTGGAAGAGGTCCAGATTCAAGGCTGCATAGAGATATAATTTGTGCTTAATCTCCACAGGCAAGAATTAGTTGACATAACATGGTTCTCACAGTCTCTGAATCGTCCTGCATGACTGGTATCCCATCCAGGGAAGCAATAAAATAAAATTATTATGTTTTTATACTCTTCGACATTCAAACCACTAATAGGAACTATCTGCATGCTGGGCCAGTTACTTGCTAAGCACTCAAAATTTCTTAATATGTTAAACCGACAATTAATTCATTAATTTTATAAGTTTATTTATTTATTTTAATGATTTTATCTTACAGAAACTGGAACTACAATATTTGCTTGCTTAAAATTTACCTTTTCATGGAAATTACAATTACAGTTCACATGATACTACCACACTGAAGCAATCAAATAAAGTGAACCCAGCACTACACACTTACCATAGAACTGTACAATGAACTGAAGAATTTGTAAAGCCTTTTAGAAGGATTATGTCCTTTCTTGTCTGCATTACAGAGCCACTGGAGGGCAGATATGCTTCAAGAAAATAACAACACAGCTTTGAACCTTGCATGTAACTTCTAAAGTCAATAAACAAAATTATTCTTTTACAGGTCAATACTGGACCGTGTCTGCCTACCGGAGGTGTCTGTTAATGAACTATCAAGGAACATGATGTGTAATATTAACTGCATGACTTTTGTACAACATTACAGTAAACAGTACTATTGAAATTTGATGAAAAAAAATATACAGACTGGATTATTTGGATTGCTTTTCTTAGAGTAATTCCTAAGAACTCCAGAGGACCTGAGAAATAAAGGTGATGCACAGTTATAAAACAAAATATTTTACCTTATACATCCATCAAATGTTCCAGGCTTAAAGCAGAGACCCTGCCCTACATCATGAAGAAACAAATCTCCTTCTACTTCTCTTTCAACTGCTACATCTGCAAAACAAATATCATGCAAATATGTGCAAATTAACAACTGGTTGATATATTGAACAATCTCTTGCTCTTTCTTCTTTTCAGTTAAAACCCCTCTTTTGTAACATGTGTTCACACTTAATCTGTAGCTGCAACCAACAGCATTTCTCAAATTGCTCATTAGAATGCTCTTGATTGCTTTTTTTTTAGCCAAGATAGTAATACAGTCGAACCTCTCCAGAACAGCCACCTTGGGGACAAGGGAGTGGCCGTTGTAAAGAGGTGGTCATTATGGGGAGGTAGGGGTGCAATATGACACCTTTTTTCACAGGGGTGCAACATTCTTATTTCTTAAAAAATGCTGACTGTAGCACAGAAATACCTAACACAATCAAAATATTGATAAAACTAAAAAAGAAGCCAGACAGATGCAGAGACCAATGACCTGAAGAACAGGTCAAGTTTTGTGACCTTTTACAATAAAAATGGGGCTTTGCATACACTGTTTGTCAGTCTGTTTGTCAGATTAACTGGCCATTGTCAAGACGTTACAGTATTTGGCAGTTTGGACTAGCTTTTTTTAGTAGTGGCCATAGCTGTTGTGGAGAGCTGGCGTTAAAATAAGAGTGAATGTATGGACCATTTGCTGGGACATTAAAAAGTGACCGTTGTAGAGAGGTGGTCGTTAATGGCTGTTCGACTGTAAGTTATTAAGATATCAGAGAAACAAAAAGAAGATTAAGTCCATAAGTAATATATAACATGATCTAATTTGGAATTTAGTTAATGTATACTGTAGAAGTCATATCAGAGATGAAGCTAAAGGGAGGGTGCAGGGGGTGTGCACCACCCACTCACCCCCCCCCCCTCCCCCACCCTTGAGATGACATGCTGCTTTCTAATATAACTGGTATAAATCTGCAAAAGCAAAAAAAACTAAGTTTATGCCATTCCTTAGTGGTGCACTCCCTCCTAAGAAAAATCCTGGATCTGCCCCTGCATATGGATCTTGCATTATTTTGTTGCATTAATTACAGTAAGGTGTTGCTAGGTAACAAAAGGTGCTGACTCCAACTTCTTATTGCATCTTCGTATGTTACTTAATATGCTTATGCCTTTCAGTTGTAGTCAATTTTATTATTTGTCTCAGACCAGAATTATTCATAATAATGTTTACATGTTCTTGGACCAGGTACATGTAACATGAAAGCACAAATCTAATTTATGTGTATTTTAATATTGATCTTACAATAATGTGAGCAGTGTTAATTCTGACAAGTTCAGATTAACATACACTGTGCACTGCAGCTTAACCTACCAAGCATGGCCTGACTGATGTCAAGACCCACCCAATGATGTCCTTCATCTGTTAACACTTCACCACTTAAACCTGATCCACAACTGGAAAATATTATTTCAATAAACAAAATGAATATTAACAACATTGTATGAAGCATGATAATTACAGTATTGATCATGAGAGTGCTGCACCTTCGAAACTGAAGATAACAAAAAATTAATTATTTATAAATCATTCTAATACTACAATGCTTTGAACTTTTGAATTTTACATTTATGACTTCTTCTTTATGTCAGCTGCATATGTTCTAGTATAAGAGATTTCCTTGCAGGACAATTTCACAAAGTGAGCAGACATTTTCTCTGGTAAGAACTAAAAAAAAGTTTGAAAAGTGGTCAGTGTAAAATGAAGACTGCAGGCTGCAGACAGTGATAAAATGCAAACTACAGACTACAGACTTGTCAAGAATAACTTCTGTGTTGTTTCCATTGTCGTGCTATCTGTAAACAGGATTAGTCTGGCTAATTGGAGTGAAAGTCTGCACCCCGGTTAGGCTGAAAAGTGCTCCGGTTAGTCTGAATATCACTCAGGCTAGCCTTAATAGCACTCTGGTTAGCTTGTTTATGGTCAGCTCTCAATGATGGAAAATATGGTAAAATGATTCAGTTAAAAAGTCTGTAGTCTGCAGTCTGCATTTTACAACCGGGCCGCAGTCCGCAGTCTGTATTTTACACCAATCGGTTTGAAAAAGCAGCGCACTCAAAATCTTATGAAAACACCATGCCTCCCCCACTCACACCCTTTTTCATGCAACAAGCAATAACTTTTGATACTAAGGCAAAAGGGCACCACTACCCTCTGATGTCACAATTTTTGTAAATTGCTTGCTCATAGACATTATATTATTTAATTATTATTTATATTTTTTAAATGTCAAGTTACGGTAACCATGATTTAGCCAATGAATGCACGCGATTTTGCATGAAAAATAAGAACTATTATAATAGTAGCAATATCACATTACCCAATATCCAATAGAAAACAAGGTTGATCCTCTGGCAAATTTAACATCTCTATGGCCCTCTGAGAGAGCTGAACTTGAATCTCAATCATTCTTGTGCTGAAAATGGAGAAATCTAACTTGATCAAATATTTCATTTTGTGATTTGGTGATGGAATGTGAAAGTAGTTACAAAATACACGTGGTGCCGCATGTAAACAATAAATACTCTACTCACTTTGAAGTATATTTGCGAGCTTCATCATCATTATAGAACTGAAGAACAACGATGAAAACGTAAGGCAGGGCTAAGGAATTTTGAAAACGTTAAAGATTTGTCAAATATAACGCTTAAACTTAAAAAATCTCACCACTTCTGGCGGAGCTTGGTGTTCAGGTCGCCTTCCGGACGCCATGTTGGAAAAGTATTTATAAAGTCAGCGGAGCTACGCGGTAAGACTGCGACTGCAGTATTTGTTGTCTGCAGTATTTCGCTGGAAAGCAATGGCGGCAGCAGTTGCCGGTTGATCCTTGTTGTGCAACTTGTGTTATGAGTTTTTTGTCCAGATTCTTGGTGCAGAATGCATCGTTTACGCGATGGAGTGTTCTGAAGAACATTGAGTTCAAGGGAACATCTTTGTGTTGCTTGCGTAGATCAGGATCGATTTATTGTGCGCCAACAACCGATGTAAAGTTAAAGTATTTCAAATGTTCAGTGAAATATTACAGCACCCGCGAAAAGACCAGGAAAAAGAACTTCTACAAAGTGCTTGGCGTGTCACCCAAGGCCACCCAGGCACAGATTAAAAATGCGTTTTACAAGCTATCCATCACGCACCATCCGGACAAGCACAAGGGAAGCGAAGAGTCGCACGAAAAATTCCAACAGATCAGCGAGGCTTACAACGTGCTAAGCAATAAGGAGACGAGAAAACAATACGATCGAGAACTTATTGTCGAGGGACAATTACGCGCGGAGCACACTCATGCCTATAAGCCACCCCAATCATTTAAGAAGGATCCTGCATCAATTTACAATTTTGATGAATGGACGAAAGCTCACTACTCAAACCAGCTCGATCGAAATCAACGAACAAGAATTAGAAGAGAAGAGCTTAAGGTAGAAAATTCAAGCACGGCAAAAATAGGACCCGGTACAATGAAGAAGACTTTTTTCATCATTACTGCTGCAATATCTGCCTTTATGTATATTTATCTCAGCAGGCAAAGAAAACAAATCTTGGAATCCACAGACGACTAGCCCTTTAAACTCCCAGCACTGATCAAAACCTATGTTCTCTCAATAGGCAAAATTAATTAATAGTGAAGAGAACTTTGATGCCAAGGTTGGGAGAAAAAGGGTTTTAATCTCCTTTACTTTATCAGCTTTAATACATTCTAACAAAAGATTATTTTGTCTAAACCAAACAAAACAGCATGTTTAGTTCTTATGGAAAGAATTAGTGCATTAATACCCTGCAAGCAGGGTCACTTTGATCTTTCCTAGGTAAGTCGGGAGACACGATCGCAGATCTCTGACTGGGCCTATTAGCTCAACCAGAATTGCATCCACGTATAAAGTAAGAACACTGTAATGCTTGCAGTAGCCTATGATGCTTTTTTGCCATTGATGGAACTGCAAAATGAAAGAATGAAGTGACTCTGTTCACAGGATACCACACTCCTCACAGGGTACTGCATCATAGGCTCACACAAGCATTACAGTGCTCTTACTACAATTCAGTTCTAAAGAAATTGCCCTTGTGTGTACAAATATTTAATTTTCCTTCAATAAGTTAATCTGGTTCCAAACTTTGGAGAAAAAAAAACAACAAAATAACTCAATGTTTAGTTAGCAATGAAAAAGTTCTTTTGGTCTCTTCTTCCAAGTATCTGAGTCAAGTTATTGTTACTTTTTTCATAAATTGATCACTGGAAATATGTAAATACCTTGAAAACAATCTACAATAGTGATAATTTTATAATAAAACAATGTCTCCAGCATGGTTTTTGGGACTAATCAAGACAAAGCGTCAGTTTCCTTTTAATCTGGTTTCATCTCCCTTCTGATTGGTGGTTACAGAATAATATTATCATGTCCACATCAATTCCAAGTGCTCGCTTTTTTGACTTTCAACCTACCAGTAATAAGTAATTGCAGTGGAAACAACACCCAACCAAAATACAGAACAATTTACCAAGTTAATAGAAAGAAAAGAGTTCACATTGCCACTGTTGGAATGTTGAATCAGTCCGAAACAACACATTCTTAACTGCTCGTGAAATTGCTGACAAAATCACCTAATACACTTTGCCAACTTCCAAATCGCACTCTATAATAACCTTGAATCTGCAAGTACTATGCAATGTAGGTTACAGAACTGTGGTTTTATTTCACTAGTTGTGTCATAAGTCAACAAGTTGCCTCAGGAGCTTTGATCATACATATCAAACTTTGTGAAACACTACCATGGTAGGATTTTGTGCCATTGAAAAAGTTTTGAGATGCACGGGGTTGTCAAAAATAGCCAGCTGTCAGCAAAAATCATGTAGTTCGCTTGTCTTTGCCGGCTTCTATGCAGGGCTATTTATCTGATTCTCAAAAAAAAAATTACAAAATCCTTCCCCACTCCAACATTAAGCCACCTAATTCAAAAGTTTGTGGCAAGCGTGGATACAACATTTTTCAATTTGTTTGTTTGTATTAAGTCATTTGTACTACATGAAGTTATGTCAAAGCCATGTGAAACTCTAGTTTGCATACCAGGATGTGGAGTAATTTTGTCAACCTGCATTCAGCAACTTGCAATCAGGATGCTAATGAACTGCCATGTACTTCTCACTGTAGCAGCATGTGGGATACTGGGAGGAAGCTTAGAATGTATGGGATTGCTTTAAAAAGACTCTTGGGCTGATTATGTTTCTAACAAACTAAAGGGTTGGTACCTTGTTTTGGACAAAAATAATCAAGGTAAGACATCTCATTTCCAAAATGAAACATCTTTATCAAGGCAAATAATTTGCATCAACACCAACAACACTACAACAATGCTTAAATCTGCTCTATCTTGATGTACTTTATGTTACTGTAGACTCCATACACCTAATACACTACTTTCCTTAGCAATGCATTGCCATTCCAAAGCAACTGAATCAAAAGATCTACACTTAGCTAAATATTCCTTTTGTACATTTGACTAACAATATAGCCCCAAGCGCCATAAGACAATTACTTTTGCTTCTGTTCTGTGTTTCCACCATTTTGAGTTGCCTACTTCCTATGGCTCAATACTTCGCCATAGTCAATCATTTTTGGGTCACATGGTCCGAGGCGAAAAGTGGTCCAGCCATTTACAGTGCATCTCGGATACATCACTGAAATCAATTGACTGTGAAGACGTGGAAGAAAGCCATACAGGAACTAGGCAGCATTTTGATAAAGTTGTCGTACAATGCACCGGAGTTAAACTTTTCTAAGATGATTTTGAGACAACAAGTGGAGTCATCTTTAGGGACAATGAGCATTTAAGTTATTGACATGCCAGTGTCTAATGAATTAAATCTTAAATCTTAAATCTTAACTTTGCAACAGTCTATCATAGGGAATGTTAGAACATCAGTCACCAGAACCAGACCTTTATGAGTGACTGCACACTAAAACTACATAAGGGGTGGTGAATGGTGCTTCAAAAACCATGGGTCTCACAAAATTTTCATCAAATTTCACGGGTGTCTCAAGGCTAAGAAAGTCTCAAAGTGGCAATTCGTTTCTTTCTATATTTAAAAATTACATATAAATGACATCTAAACGTCTTAGAACCTGACTGTCTTGACCTTTCAAGTCCTTGGTGTTGCAAATGAAAGGTCAAAATGTCTCGGGCTTGCAAAGAGAAACGCTACTCTCATCTTGCACGGTCTTGCATTTACCATACACCACCCCTAACATACTGCTTTTAAATCTGTTCACAATTTACTAGAAAGTACATTAAGTTGTTTACTAAAATCTATATGAATATTGGGAAGATGTTCTACTTCTTAACAGCTCACTCAATTTTTCACTTTTAATTTTCCGTAAGCTATGAACAGTTTTCTGACTTTGAAATGTTTGGATGAAGTCCTCAACATTGATTTCTCCATCTAGAAATCTGTCAGCAATTTTCTGAAAAAAAAATTCAGAAAACCAATTAGAAATTGTAGACAGGTACATTTTAATTTTAGGTACAGTCGAACCTCGATTATCCAGACCTCGATTATCCAGACTATTCGATTATCCGGACTTTTTTCTATGGTCCCGATTTTTTCATGAATATTAATTAGTTGTCGCAAAAAGCCAAATAATCCTTTCAAAAGACTGTTGAAGCAGCATATTATCCTGTGCGCTTTTCAAAATTCACAAGTGCGACAAGACAAAGAAATATTCTGATGCGTTCAGCTGAAATCTGATTGGCTCAATTGTTTTGTTACCAAGGGAATTTCATGCTGGATTAGTTCCTTCCGCGTGGGTTATGTAAACACACAAGCGATTGATCGTAAACTCAAATCAAAAACATGTCTACAAAGCGAAAGCGAGCCGTTCTATCGATTAAAGATAAGCAGATAATTATTTCATGTTTATATAAAGGAGAGAAAGGAACAAATTTAGCTCAAGAATTTGGCATCAGCGCTTTATATGCTTTCAGATGTTTGGTACGAGGGAAGCCCGGAATCTATTTGCAAGGCTTATGATAAATTGAGAATTCATTCGGACAACAGCGAGCCAAATTCACACCCCGAATTCAGAGAGGATAATATCGCTGAGTCCATGGTCGAAATGTTGGAACATGTACAACAACTTGACAATGAGGAAATGCCTAATGCTCARGATGTGGAAGACTGGCTTAATCTGGAAAACGAGCTCCCGACTTCACAGCAAATGTCTGATGAAGAGATTTTAGCCACCGTTGTCGGAGATTTGACGGAAAGCAAAAGTGTATGTAGCGACGAGGAAGATGAGGGCAAGGACGAGAAAATAGTATCGACTAAAGAGGCAGTGCAATGTTTCAAAAAATGCTTGTCGTGGATGGAATCACAGAACGATATTGACCCTGTGCAGTTAATGCAGCTAAGACGAATGATGGACTTCGCAACGCGATCAAGCTACAAGTCTTTGAAGCAAACAAACATGCTTGAACATTTTACACCTTTGTAAATACCTGAACTGAAAGTTTTTATTTGTAAATACATACAGGCTGTGTAGATTTCACAATTAAAATGATGTTTTCTTTGCTGTATACCTTTTGTTTACATTTCTATTCATTAATATTCATGTTTTCGATTATCCGGACTATTTACCGAGGTCTCGACGAGTTCGGATAATCGAGGTTCGACTGTAACATAATATTATAAGAAATAATATAAAATTTCATTGTTCTATTATTGATTAACAATTTTATTTTGATCTACATAGAATCAAACTCTATTTAACAAAACTTACATTCAATTTAGACTATGTCTTGATTTAGTTTGCACAAGAAATTTTTTTATTGGCTTATAATGGATATCTTTCTTTTTTGCTTTCACCTTGACATACAATTGGATAAGATACACTCTTCAGTATGTTTGTCAATGTGCCCCCAAAAAATTGCAAAATAATATGCATCAATGCTCCTAGGAGGAGAAAGCCACACTGAGAGAATAAAGTCACACAAGGCAGTGACTTTGCCCTCTTTACACAATAAAGAACATTGATCTGTTTGAACCTGAATTTCAATGTAACAACTGCTTGGCTTCTTCTAATTTTCTTCCTCTTACAATATCAATTTTTCATTTACCCACTCAAGTAACTGTCAACTTTTATCGTTATTTTTCACTCATGATTCTGTGTGGTTGGGGATCTTTATGCGATATAAGGCAAGATTGCTGTCAACATTTGTTTGCCAAGCCACCCAAGCAGAAAGGTCTCTGAAGAGTCCCTTGGCCGGGATGACATGAAAACGTTGCATCAGACTAGCCACAACCAATGTATTATCTCAACAACTGTCAACTTTTATTGTCATTATATTTAGTTTGACTCACCTCTGCTTCTTCTTCAGCTTGTGCTGTAGAGGTTTGCAGCAATGCTAATGTTGTGTCTGGTGAATATTGGCTTGAGAGTGCCTCTGCAAGGAAAGGTCATGACACATTGTTCAATGTTAAGTTCAGCTATCAAAAGAATCAGGGTTCTGTTCCTCTCAACTTACTGTTGGTTACATTGGCTGGGTAAAGAATTAAGTTCGTTAAACTGAAGAGTTTGTTATAAGGGAGTTTGTTAATACTGTAAATCCTTGAATTAGCGCCCAGAGCGCTTATTTCAAATTTAGGAGAAGACCGGGGGGTGCTTATTTAATTTTTCCCAAATCGTGGCCTGACATGATCATTTTTTAATACATCATCTGTGTGTAAACAACAACATGAGCTGTTTATTGACATAAAAAGCTGATCCTTAAGTTTAAATCGCTGCACCGTTAGTACTTAATGTGTTCAACATGTTCACTTAACGTGTTCAGAAACTGAAACAATGTACAAATCTAACACTACATGGCAAAAACTAAATATCCTTCGTTGTCTTATTACTCGTCCCCAAATTAAGGGGGAAGGGGGGGTGCTTATTTTAAATTTCAGCCGATAGGAGGGGCACTTATTCAAAGTGGGCGCTTTATACAAGGGGGGACGCTAATTCGAGGATTTACAGTTCATACATTATGCCATTCTGCTGGGCTGCTTCTCCCCCAGATTAAGCTGTACCATTCTGTACTAAGGCTGCCCAAACAGTTTACCAGTCTCCATCTGTACCCCAGATTGGAGAGATAAATTGTGACAGTAAATTGTCTTGTCTAATATTTCTTGGAAAAACGCATTAACCTTGACAAGAATTTGCATCCAGACTTCTTCATTATCTGACTCTAAAATCCCAAAAAATAGGACATAATGTTTCCAAAAGTTGTACATGATTCTAAATAACATAAATAATTAAGGACACTTTACCCAGTTTTTGTCTGTTCTTTTCAAACACCCCTTGAATCACAGCCTTGTTTTGGTGAGCTTCATATAGTTGGTTTTTTCTTGATTCTAGTATTGGCTGTTGCTGTAGATTGTATTCAGCAAGGCTTCTATTACTGGCCAGCAGCATTTCTCGCTGAGTCTTGACCTTTTTTACCTACATATTCACAAAAAGTGGTATTTCTTTAGAACATCACCCTGAACAACTGGACCCTCTTTTCCCCCCTCTCTCCTCTAGGTTTTCTCCTCACATTCTTTACACCAAGGAGCTTTTAATGTAGGTTTCCCTGAATGAACTTTGGTGCAGGCTGAAATAGCATGCATTGTACTGGTGTATAATAGTAGAATATTCAACTGATATGTTAAATTAGTTCTACTTTGCAATGTTCTTAAGGACAAAATTAATGACCATGTCAAATTTCAGAATTTCAATCCAGCGACATTTCTCCCCCCACCAGTTCCTTCTTCACTCCACCCTTTGGCTGAACCGAGTCAAAGAGAAAATTTCCTCTCCTGAGTCCACCCATTTTTGGAACTTGCAATGCTCTGGATGAAATTAAAAACTGGACCCAGAAAATCCTGGTTCCTGTTTGACTGTGCTCATACATTCAATTTCAAAAATGGTGCACACCTTTTGATTTCTCCCAGAGGTCTCAATTTCTTGGTGCTAACCAAAAGGATTGTGGTAGAGCAATTTTGCAATACCAGGTAACTTATTAAATATCTCTCAACACTTCTACAGCCTGGTTCACACTTGTGGGATAAGCATAACACAAGTGAAATAAGCAGGTTCCCACCAGTGAGATGAGCGTAACACTAGTGAAATGAGCACAAGAAAAAGAAACATGTTCCTTTTTTCTTGTGCTTGGGCTTATGCTTATTTTACTTGTGTTATGCTTATCTCGCAAGTGTGAACCAGGCTAAAGAACGCAGCACAAAAGCAACCATTCAAATTCAATGAGATCCAAATAAGTGGCCCAGTATTCTACAATCTAGTCACTGTTCAACGCATAATCATGAACACAACCTCGACAGCTTACACAGAATGTTATGTCTGAAAGGCAAGAACTCATCTACACATACTGCTGTCAACTACCTAGAAAGAAATCCTTTCCCTATTTAGTAAACAAGTACGCTCGTTTAAAACGATTATAACGAAGAAATCCACGGCAAGTATTACTTTAACTTCTGGCTTGTATGATAAGTGAATGACTTAATGAAAGAAATTCTTAGAAAACGTGATCGGAGTCATTAAATCCTGAGGCATAGAAAGGAAAACAAACCCATACATAATGTACACACACGCTAAACAACAAACCTCCTCGTTATCTGAAATGATGTCATTAAGTTGGCTCTCATTCTCTAGCAGTTCTTTCAATTCTCCTTTGTCGTCAATGTGTCGCAACAAGCTTGTCAAATCATGGAGGGCTTTAGCCTCATTCAAGGCGGGCGCCGTTACCAAAGATGGGGCTCCATATCCAGACATGTCGATTACGAGTGGAAGTCAAATCAGAATTAAACTTTTGATCCCTTTAAATACCTCCAATATTGCGTCGATAAAATAACATTTCCCACTTAGCTTCATGCAGCTTGCTTCATGGCCGTGGTACCGTTCGGAGCTGTTAAGTTTGTATGTGGCGCGGAGAGCGTCATGGTTAATTTTAGAACACTTAGTGGCCTCGCCTGATCCGACGGGGTTTTTTTTACGAGCCCAGTCTTTCTCCGTTTTACATTTAAAAATCGGGTAGTTGCGTGGTTTTTTCTCTGGTTTACGTAACTTTACGACTGAATAGCCCTTATGCAAGTTGACATCAGGCAAGCAAATTTTACCACCAAGCCTCTCATTATAATTAAAAATTCAAACTGTAAAATTTACCATGAAACAGGAGCCCATCCTCCTTGAACAAATATTCCTAGAAAATCCCACGCAAACGAGGCTTGTTGGTGAATTTTTAGAATGTGACGTAATCATGCATAAGACCTGCATTTATGATGAGTAAGAGTTGTAGCGGAGAGCTCGCTAACGTTTGCTTTACTTGGGTAAAATTAAAAGGCCATTTCCGAGTTACTTTGTGCTTCTGTTTCAAAACGCGTCCTTCATATGAAAATGAAATTTATTTACATGAAAAAGAAGTTGCAGGTGAAATACATTTTCATCAGGAGCCCATCACCCGGCCGGAGCCTCCATATGTACTATAGAGCGTTTTCACGTCACGTCATCAAATTCTTAAATCTAAAACTAAAGAGCCACCAAAGTTTTTATCCTCATTAGGCATAAGAGGTACTAATTTAACATCTGTCTACATCCTTCGTTTGGAAACCAGCGCATTTTGCATTTCAGAGTTTTGGCGGTGTGTGACATAAAGCTACGATCGCGTTTATTGAAAAATATGTATTTATCTCGTGATTTTTAGGTTGTTTCTGTAGGTACTGGAGCACACTATACGTCATCAAGCTGGACATACATTAATCCTGTTTAACTACATAATTTACTTGGCCGGAAATATATTAATCCTGTTTAACTACATAATTTACGTAAATCCACGCCTCCTACTACAGATATTATAGGCATTCTTTTCACAGCCCACAGGTCCACACTTCTTACTGCATACAGGATAGACATGTCGTCCACAACCCACAGCTCCACAGCTCCACAGATCCACAGGTCCACACTTCGTACTACATACATGATAGATATTATGTTCAAAACCCACAACCCACAGGTTCACAGGTCCATAGGCCCACAGTCCCACAGGTCCACAGGTCCACAGGTCCACACTTTGTTTACATACATGATAGATATTATGTCTACAATCCACAACCCACAGGTCCAAAGGACACAGGGATCCACAGGT